TGAATTGCTATCACTTTTAAATAAAAACATATAACTTTTAAATCAAAACGTATAACTTTTACTAAAAACCTAGGATCTGCACAACTTAAGAACTTACTATAAATATATCATTTATAAAAGTACCATTTTTTTAAACCAATGGCCGATATCCACCAGCACCCCTCTATCTCTCAGATGGTTGGTTACTAGATATACCTTGGCTAAGTGCTTCTCAAGATGTTGCAACTATATATTGGGGAGTGCAAAATTATGGTGTCTATAAAAAGGAAGAATAGAAACTACACCAATGCACGATTATAGTCATCCAACTCTTCAGGGATCAATCTCTCATATTTGCACATGCTTCAATAGCAAGTTTTGTTATTCGCTTTCTGGCCTTTCTCATGGGTAGAGTTTCTGCTACAGTTTCCAACACTTTAAGAAGAAGAGCATTAACATAATTTTACATTGAGAAATTTCAACAAACGGCTGGTAGGTGCAACATAAAATCATATGTATAAATCAAACAGGTCTTCATATATACGAATACACTTGGAAAACCACGTACTTATTCAAGACGACATACAAGGTATTCTGTCTTAGTTTTATAGCCAGACACATAATTTTTCACTTCGTGTGTTATAATTCTAAAATAACCTAATTATATAATTTTAATAATTGCTTCTCACTTATTATAACCGTCTTCAACAAATCTGGATGAAAATCTATTAGTTAACCTAAACCGGTGACTTGGAATGTATTTTGAAATTGGTTGAAACAGGTAAGAATCGAATCAAAGTTTATAGATTTTCGTAAAATTACCTTTGAAGTTGCAAGCCGAAGTTCATACAAGTTTGTGGTCCGTCTTTGTTCGATTGAACTGTTTCACTTCATTTGAGGTTTTTCAATTCGTCATTGCGCGATTGAACCTCGCTAGAGGTGTTGCGATTATCATCGTTGCGCGATTGATCCTCGTTGGAGTTGTTGCGATTATCATCGTTGCGCGATTGCACTTCGTAGAAATTATTAGGAAGATGCTCTGTCATCATTTTAGTTGCAGAGATAAGTCGTAGAAGTTCTGGATTCTAAGTGGAAAGATAGGACGCCGAAAGGTCATTAATAAAAATTGGCCGCCAGATTTGTGAAGATCGGACGCTCCATATTACTTCTCACTTTTCAGCCCAAACAGGCTTCTCACCAGATGTATTCCCTATATATGTATATGTGTGTGTGGATATATAGAGATCAAATACAAACTAGGCTTAACATGCTAGCCTACAAACTAATCTCAGCCCTCCATTTTGATTAGATTACCGTGAAGTTGATTCCTTAATTGAGGGGTTTATTGGTCTTTTTCATTTATATTATTTTTGGAAAAAATAATCACTCCATCTTTCCGTAACTGATTGCATCGGTTTCTTCCTTTTCTCCTGTCACGATCACCATCAACACATCCTTCTCCATTTCCATAACCACCTATTTCCCTTTCTTCTTTCATTCCAGCTTTTCCATCGATCGTGATTCGTCCATCAATATGTGATTACTCCAAGATATCAAAGCTTCTCTCCATGTCCATCTTCATCTCAAATTTAAGACAATATGATTAGTGTTTTTCTATTTGAATGCCATGGATTCTGCACACAGGGAGAACATAAGTTCTCAAATGCCATGGATTCCGGCATAAAGTTGAATTGATATGCCGAATTTTTTTAATTCTTTTGTTTTGGTTTTCATATCAATTATTTTGACCTAAATGGTCTTTTGTTTTGGTTTTCACTAAAATCTGTTGTGATTTTAGTGATCTCTTTTTAATAAATTCTTCACATGGTTATCTCCTTCTCAAATCACTTCTTTGTCATATGAATATAATAGAATAATGAGGTAGTCATGTGAATTCTTTTTTTACTATTTAGAACATGGTACTCATATATTATGCATTTTGTAATCCCTTGAATTGTGTATCCATGTCATTTGAATATGGAGTGCAGATATCATAATGATAAGATTCATGATACAAACTTTTAAAATGCACATGTCATCTTATTAAGGTGCACTTTTAATCTTACTAAAGTGCAGTATAAGAACTTCTAAGATGCACATATCATAATGATAAGATGCAGTATGGAATATTAAAGTGCACATATCATCTTAGTAAATTTCAATACACAAACTTCTAAAATGAAAAGTGGTCTTCCCGTGCAAAGTGAAAAGTTTTCACTTTTTCATGTTTCGCTTGCACGTTTTGTTGTTTGCGTTGCACTTTTTGGCCATTTTGATTTTGACCATATTCGGCCAAAATGACGGAGGCAGTTTTGTAAATAAACCAATTTTTTTGAACTACCGCGAATAAGTGAAACGAAAGCAAGAAAAAGTGCAAGCGAAACATGAAAAAGTGCAAACTTTGCACTTTGCACATTAAGACCTCTTTTTATTTTAACCATCCCATATATATATATATATATATATATATATGTATATATATATATATACCACAAACTTGTTTTTGTAGATATTTTCCTTTTATTCAACATTCTATAAAAATATAAAATGACTAACTCCTCGTTGAAATTTATTCAACAAGAAATAGTAAATAAATGTAATAATTTGTATGAACAATCTCATTTTATTAGTCAATTCTCACCATTGTTACATAATACAGCAGCTGCCTTTAATGGAGTTACAGACTAATCTAGATGGGAGGGGGGGGGGGGGGGGGGGGGGGGAGCATAAGAGACCCCAAGAAATGGAGGGAACTCCTCCTATAAATAGGAGAAAATGAGGAAGGGTGCAATCAATCATTCAACCCTAATGGGCTGAGATGGGCCGGATGAGCCAGAAAGGGCCCGGTGGGCTGAGATGGGTCACACTAATTAGGCTCTGTATGTGGGGCAATATTTTTTGCTCCTGAATAGTAATAGGTCGGGATGATATATCCCAACACTACTGTATTTGGGGAAGGTTCTCAATTGACGTTACTACATTTTTTATTTTTATGTAACATCATTTATGTAACTCATATTTAAGAATGTTATTCTTTGGATGTTTTTACCTGGACTGTAATTTGCTGGTCTGATTTGATCTGTTTAAGTCTGGTCTGGTTTGTTTAAGCTTGGTCTGGCCTGGTCTTAATTGGTCTGATCTGGTCTGGTAAATGTCTGGTCTCTGTGTATTTTATAACTACGGAAGTCAAGTCTGGTTTGGTCTTTTTAAGTTTGGTCTGGTCTGATCTGTTTAAGTCTGATCTGATCTGTTTAAGTCTGGTCTGGTATGAGACTGAAAAAAATCCAAGGAAAAACATGTTTTATCTATACTAACATGCTATACATGATTTGATTAAATTCTAAGACGTTTCATTTATCGTCTAAATGTGACACTATGGTTGAACCTGTAATTATTTTTTAAAATTGTAACACATATGGCCGGCCCAAAGGGAGCACCCAGCATGGCTCAGGGCACAGGGCCCCCAAATTTTGAAGACCCAAAGTTGTTTCAGTAGTACTCTGTATTAGGCAACAAAATTGACGAGGTCCAAAAAATAGAGAAAGAAAGATCGAAGACTGTGTCTCTTTTGGCGCTCTGCAGTTTGCACTACTAGGTTTGTCAATGGGTTGGATCTGGACCGGAACGTAGTGTTTCAGACCCGGACCCGCTAAGTTAATAAATGACCCAGACCTGACCCATATACCCGGCGGGTTTGAAAGTTTGGACCCGGGCCCAATGGGTATCGAAACCGGGTCGGGTAGCCCCACCAATTATGATATACACAACATTATAAACTTTGTGAAAATAACAAAACACGAAATATATAGCAAAGTGCGCAAACTTAAAAGAAAAATATATTTTAACTTTTCAAAAAATTCAAGGTTTCTCAGAGTAGAAAATTAGTACTTTTATCCAATAAAGTACCAGTTCTTGTAGAGGCGTATAACTCCACACTCTGTCTCTTTCTCTTGCAGAGAAAACTCGTAGAGGAGACTAGAAATTAAGTCACAAAAATGTCTCTTGGACTATTGAGAGTCCAAAAGCATATTATATATGATAATGATATAAAAATATTAATAATAATAAATCTTGGGTTTTGCCTACCGAGCCCAATACACATTTTATCATTATGCATTTGCGGTCAAAATGAGTATTAGTTTTAGGGTACCTAACTATCTGGATCAATATGACTTATAAGTAGTTATGTATTAGTGTGTATTACAAGAAATATGTTTATGTATTAGTATGTAGATGTGTATGTGTGTTAGTTTATGTTTTTTTATTTGAAGTATTATAACTATCCACTTTATGTATAATACTTCTTAAAGTGTGTGTACATATACTAATAAGAAATTTTAAACGGGTTCTGGTCCTTAACGGGTCAGAATCATATGTACCATACCCCCGCCCGTTAATTAAAAACACTAACGGGTCGGGATCCGGATCCGGATCCGGGTAAACGGAATACAATATAGACATATACTCCCTCCGTCCCGAAATAATTGTCCTACTTTTCTTTTCGATCCGTCCCGAAATAATTGTCCTACTTTGAAACTTCCTTATTTGGTAAACAAATCTATACAAAACAGTGTCAAACAGTGCAAAACAGTGTTACTACAGTGCCAAACAGTGTCGCTACATTGCCAAACAATGTCGCTACAGTGTGAAGTCAACTTTATTTTCTTAATCTGTGTGAAGGTTAAAGTAGGACAATTATTTCGGGACATAGTAAAAACAAACGGGTTCGGGTCAGGTCCGGGTCTAGACTTGACCCATTGACAAGCCGGCACTACACTACTTTAATGACCTGCTTGGATTGAGTGTTAGTAATGGAAGTGTTAGTAAGTGTTGATACTAACACTTGTTTGGGAGAAAAATTAAGAGGTGATAAGAAGTGTTAGTAAAGTTTAGGAAGTGTTAATAATAACCTTCCCAACACCTCAATTGTCAACTTTTTTTAATACCCCAATTTGAAGTGTTTTAAGATGTTTGACATTTCATTTCTTCTCCTTACTCGTTTCCTAGCTAAAGGTAAAATTCCATTTCCATTACTAATGCTCAATCCAAACGGGAGTTCGAGCGACAAAAAGGACGAACGACAAAACGGGAGTTCGACCCAGTGGACCGACGACGTCACCGCGCCAAGCCATCACTGCGCCACGCCTCCGAGATTCCGGGGTCTACGCCTGACGCATCCGCGCTCGCAGCCTCGCACCGTCGCACACTGACACTTTCAACGTCGCACGGCTTGCTGAGTCGCTGCCTCGCTGGAATCTGGAGACCGGAATCGCCGCCGCCCGCCTCGCTGAAGAGTGAAGACTGAATGTCTCGGTAACTTTTCTGACTTTTCTCCTTTTTAATTACAAATAACTGAAATTAGGTTGTTGTTACTTGTTTATTAATGAAGTTTTTAGTAATTCAATTAATAATTGCATTTCACAATTAAGAATGTGGTTTAAGTATGTTATTAGGTTTTTGGGGTTATGATTATAAATTTATATTACTTAATCCAAAATTTAAAGTTGATGTCAATAGAGTTTGAAAGTTTGATAGATGACTTTCATCTAAATATGCTCGAAGAATGTATTTTTAAATGAAATGTATTTTATTTATGAATACTTTTATTTTTACTATTATAATTAGTAACATGTATTTTAACAAAAATTATCCGTCCCCTGTTATCATCTGTATTTATGTTCTATTTCTATTTGTAATTGAAGGTGATGAGTGGTGAGACTATGATACTTGCCTCCGTCCTTTCTACAACTTTCAATGTTCTAAAACAAAAATGCTCCATCAATTCCACATCGAATGGCAAAAAACAATGCTTTGTCACTCAAACATATTGCCAGTACTGCCATTATCCACCCGAACTCGACACTCCTAGCGAAGCTCTTAGATTATTGCATCAGCACAAGGTCACCATTGGCAGCGCGTTCTGTGCATGGGAGGGTCCTGAAGAGTAATTTCATCCATGAGGTCTTCATCAACAACCGGCTCATCGATGCTTATGGCAAATGTTTTCTATTACAGGAAGCCTGTCAGGTGTTTGATAAAATGCCCGATAAGAACACTTTTACTTGGAACTCCATGATCAATGCCTTCACGGCATCTAAACGTGTTGATGAGGCAGAGGAGCTTTTTTCATTGATGGTGGATCCTGATCAGTGTTCGTGGAACTTGATGGTTTCGAGCTTTGCCCAGTGTGAAATGTTTGATTTATCTGTGGAATATTTTGCGAGAATGCACAGTGAGGACTTTCTGCTGAATAAGTACTCTTACGGTAGTGCACTTAGCGCTTGTGCTGGACTTAGGGACTTGACAGCAGGTACTCAAATCCACTCTTCTATTGCAAAGTCAAAATTTTCTTTTGATGTGTATATGGGGTCTGCACTCATTGATATGTACTCAAAATGTGGGAATGTGGGGTGTGCTCAAAAGGTTTTTGATGATATGTGGGGTCCCAATGTGGTCTCATGGAATAGTTTGATCACATGTTACGAGCAAAATGGGCCCGCTAGTAGGGCACTAGACATTTTTGTCATGATGATGCACCATGGGTTTGTGCCCGATGAGATGACCTTAGCAAGTTCTGTAAGTGCTTGTGCAAGCTTGGCCTTACTTAGAGAAGGCCGTGAAATCCATGGCCGAGTGATGAAGTTTCATAAGTTCAGAGATGACCTCATCATAACCAATGCTTTGGTTGATTTCTATGCAAAGTGTGGCAAGATCAATGAGGCAAGAAAAATCTTTGATAAGATGCCTGTAAGGAGTGTGGTGTCTCATACCTCTATGGTTAGTGGTTATGCAAGGTCTGAGTGTGTGAAAGCGGCTAGAGCAATGTTTAGTGGGATGATGGAAAAGAATGTGGTGTCCTGGAATGCACTTATTGCTGGATACACCCAAAATGGGGAAAATGAGGAGGCATTAAATCTCTTTCTTTTGTTAAAACGGGAGTGTGTTTGGCCAACTCATTATACCTTTGGGAACCTCCTAAACGCTTGTTCAAATCTCTCAGATCTCAGGCTTGGTAGGCAGTCTCATGCGCATGTTTTGAAACATGGGTTTCATTTCCAGAATGGACCTGAACCAGATGTTTTTGTGGGGAATGCTCTGATAGATATGTATATGAAGTGTGGATCGGTTGAAGAAGGTCAACGGGTTTTCAAAAACATGACCGATAGAGATCGGGTTTCATGGAATTCGATGATCGTAGGGTTTGCACAAAATGGGAAAGCAAATGAAGCACTTGGGATCTTCAATGATATGTTGATATCTGGAATGAAGCCGGATCATGTGACCTTGATCGGAGTTCTTTGTGCGTGCAGCCATGCGGGGCTAGTTGACGAGGGTCGCCGCTATTTTTATTCCATGAGAGAGTATGATTTGGAACCTTTGAAAGACCACTATACATGTATGGTTGATTTACTTGGTAGGGCTGGTTGCTTAGACGAAGCAAGGAGTTTGGTGAAATCAATGCCAATGCCTCCTGACGGTGTTTTATGGGGATCTTTGCTCTCTTCTTGTAAAACCCATGGTGATATGGAGTTGGGTATGCATGTAGCTAAGAAGCTTTTGGACTTGGACCCTGAAAATTCAGGCCTTTATGTGCTTCTATCAAACATGTATGCTGAGTTAGGGCACTGGAAAGATGTTACAAGAGTGCGTAAACTCATGAGACAGCGTGGTGTTGTTAAGCAGCCTGGTTGCAGTTGGATTGAGATACAGAATTTGGTCCATGTTTTTATGGTTAAAGATGGCAGGCACCCAGAGAAGGAGGAGATATATCTGTCCCTGAACACTCTCACTGAACTGATGAGACTCTTTGGGGTTGAGCCTGAGTTCGATGCTGGGGAGTTCTATATCAACAGTTCCCTGTCAGTAAGTCACCAGAATCTCTCTTGCCACTAACATCACTTAAAAATCCTCATAGTTCAACGGTCTCACTACTTTCATGATATTTTTAGTCCAACGTTTGTGAGGATGAGTAGAGATCTTGTGCTGACCGCCTGATTGGAACTCCTGTCCAGCTAAGGCCATTTGGAGTCCGTGGTGGAATTTTTTATGATTTTTTAAACATGTTCTTCATGAAGTGTAGTTTATGCCCACAAAATTTCAGATTTAAATTCAATCGGAAAGTCAGAATTATTGAAACATGTTATTTTTTGAGGGAAAATTATTGAAACATATTCCGCTTTATATATACATAAAGCGCAACATGCCTCAATAATTTATTTAACTGACTTCCCGATTGATTTAAGCTGAAATTTTGTGGAGATAATCTACTTGATAAAAAACGTGCTCATAAAATTTCATTAAAAATTTCCATCAAGAAGGGCTCCAAATGGCCTTGGTCGTTCTGGTGCGGACTGACTGAAGAGATCAATTCTCTGTGATGGTTAGAGCAATATCTTTGACTTAATTATAATTATATTGTGATATTCTTCCATTAAAATATTCCACCTACGAGGTGAATGTTAATTTGCTGCGAGTTAGTTTGGTTTTGCAGATATTTTTCCATAATGATCTACTTTCTATCTTTCTATAAAATTGGGCATTTGAATACGAAGTACTTCCTTCCTCCCGCAAAGAAGTTCACGCTTTCCTTTTTTAGCAGTCCCAAAAAGAAGTTCCTCTTTCCTTAAATGGGAAGTTATCTACATCAAAACAGTGCCAAACAATGCAAAAGAGTGTCAAACAGTGCCAAACAGTGTCGAAACAGTGTCAAAATAGTAAAATTTACCTCCTGTTAAGTTTATTTCCTTAATATGTGTCTAGGTTAAACCGTGAACTTCTTTGCGGGTCAGAGGGAGTATATTTTTAAAAATGGGCCTCTTATCATGTAGCATCAAAGTTCAATTACAATTTACAAGAGCTTTTCACCTATTTTCCTGGTCCATTTTTTCTCTGACTCCGCTTCTTATTATGTCCAAATTGTGAATGGATGTTGAAAATGCTACTTTTCAGTTAAGTTATACTTTTCCTGGGACATCTTCGAGTGACTGCACCACATTGAAAACAGTGCATCTCGGCGTAGTGGCGTGTTTAGAAGATTAATTAATTAATTATCAAAAACAAAAACCTTTCTGAAATTAACCACGTCGTTCAGTTTCCCAATATACAACATCTTGCTATCAGTGTGAAGCAAATTATTTCACTAAGTTGTATTCCTGATTTTTAATAAAAGATATTCTTTTCTTTATAATTGTTACTATAATTTGAGGTTGTCTATCTTTTGTTTATATATATATATATATATATATATATATATATATAATTATTTCTTATAATTTGCAACCAAATTAAAATTGAGACCAAGGACTGACTGTACCTATGTATTTGAAACGATAGTGTCCTCTATTTTTATCAACCTAATTATTGTTTGAAAAGTGTTGATGTAACACATTGATATTATTACACGAAGTAATAATGTTTTCAAATACGGAGTACAAAACATTATTGTACAAAATAATGAAAAAATAAAATTCCAATACAATGTTTTTTCAAAAAAAAATTAAGCATCCATTAAAAAATATACAAATTGAGTATCTTTCATATTCAAACAAGTTTTGTAGACAATCAAAAGACTGAAATAATTATAATCGTAATAAAATAAAAATTCCTTATATATATGTCTATATATAGCTAGGGAACATAGGGACGTAGTTGGGGGATTTAGAATAGATTGTGAGTCTGATAGGGTGACATTGAGATTGGTTGAATCTTCTGAAATTGTGAGATCTTAGATGAAGCGGGTTAATTAGTTGAATAATGGAAAAAATATAAAATATACTGTACATATTTTAGTAACAAAATAAAGAAAAACCTATATGAAAACAATTAAAATGGTCATCAAGAGTAACTTTAACCAAATTAGCTAGAAATCAACTACAACCTTATTATTTACGGAGTATATTGATTATTATAGAAATCAGTACGCAAAATAAAAAAATACGTTTTTATGATAAACTAGTTGGTGAGGGTGAAAAAAATGAAATTATGGCTACCAAACAGGCTTTGTGATATATTCAGATGTTCAAAAATATTTTGACTTTTTAGAACTGTTATGCAAAGTCAACCCTACAACTGGGTGAATTGATTGAATCCGTAGAAAGTGATAAAATTCTGACTAAAGCGGTTCAATTGGTGAAATCGACTGAATTATAAAAAAAATGTTTGTAAATCATATTCTTCTAATAAAAAAATTTTTATTTAAAATAGCTAAAGTGTTCTTCACCATATTTAGTCGATTCAGATAGAAAAGTAGTTTTTATAACTTTACTTATTTATGGTTAATAAAAGGATTTTTTCCCCTAAATATTACTAATAAAAAACTTATTGCGAAAATTTTACTCAGTTACTACGTAATATTTCTATCCACCACATTCTAAAGAGTAATATTAATGGGTTTTTTCTTATTAAAAAAAGCAATTATATACTCAAAGCACATTCCAAAATGTAAAAAGCAGTTATAAATCTAACTTTTAATTTCATTTTCATTTTCAAAATATATTGAAAAATTATCTTGATCAATCAAATCCGGAATGAGCTAAACAAATGTAAACGAAACACAAATATTTGAAATTTATTTATTTAACAAAAAGAACCTTAAAAGACATTGGGATTTTAAAAACTTTAGGCAAAAAAACATGCGGCTGCATCCAGCCTCCTTGGTAGTTTGTACATTATGTAATTGAAAAAGGTTTCATTTTACACTAGACACATGAATTTAATGAGCACAAATAAACAAGATTAAAACAGCCAACGTGGATTACATTAAGTAATTTTGGGGGTGCGCAAAGCAACCCCATTGAAAATCTACTAATCTAGTCTTGCTTTCACTTAACCTCCCACATAGAAGCAAAGGAAAAACACCTCAAGGCGCGTACTGCAGGGCATACACCTTGACTTTTGAGGCGTAAGTTTCTTGTCCTGCAAAAACAACCTAAGCCTCAAAATCTCTATATACCTCACCTTGAGGCGCGCCTCAAAACCCTCGCTGTAAGCGCCTTTTAAACCATGGTCACATGGACCGGAAGTGGAAAGAAGTCCATAGTCGTACACCAAAAGGGAAAAAGCTGAAAACTTATGATAGGACTCTGGGCAGATTAGGACTGATAATAATGAGAATAATAATAATATTAGAAGAGTTAGTATAAATAGATGATGAGGGTAGAATAGAAAGGGAGGGTTGGTATGGTTTCATTTGGGCTGGGACTTGGAGAGTGGCTCTCTTTAAACTGCCTTTGTATTTCTCTCTCTATTTTCTGTTATACTAAGCTTTCTATTGTTACGCCCCTCTTTTCTTCATCGCTAGTTCTTGAATCACGGTGATTAGGTCTGAATCCTAACATTGGTATCAGAGCAATCGTTCTTGCACTTGATCATGGCCGTCAAAAGAGTGAAGAGTAAAGATTGGATATTGCTCATGGAGAAAATTGATTATGAAATGATGGAACGTGGTTGGGAAAGCTGGGAAAACGAACCAGACAGGAGTCGTGAAAAGAAATGGGAGAAGTTATCAGAAAAGGTTGAGCGCGGAAAAGTGGAGAAACTCGCGGAAAAGGTAGAAAGTGACGAGGAGAAAGAGCGAAGGATCTGGTTGGACCAGTTGCGCACCGATCTGCATAAACAACGTCGCAGGCGAGGTCGATCGAGGACAGTCCGCCGTTGTCAGAATTCGGCAAGCAAGGTGTCCTCGGTAGTTGAGGCCTTCAGTTTGCAGACTTCATCATACAGTAACAACTTATTTCAAGGTACGATGCGACCAGAAGGAGAAGCCTCCAGTTCGCTGTTGCTGTCTGAGTCGCAGGAGTCCGGCAATCCACGGCAAACTCTTTCTAAAGGTACATTCATTGAGGGTGATAAAGGATCAAAGGAGAAATCTTCTGTGGCAACTCAGTCCTGGACAGTCTTGGAAGATGAATCTACTGATTTTAAATTTGCCGGTTCAAATATGTCTACTGAATTGCAAAACCAAGTGATTTCTGTAAACTTTTTAGGTACGTGATAGGATTTTTAAATTTACTTATTCTAGAAAGAAGAAACAGGGAAACGTGGCGGCATAGTCTTATGGCTAGTGGTTCCTGGTTTTATGCTTTTAGTTATTTTATTCTTATCCATTAGGCTGTTACCTTTCATTTGAGAAATAAGTGGATCTCCCCACTACTACGTAGGAGTTAATTAGTAAGTGCTCAACTATTTCCCTATTGTTCCTCCTTGTAATCTCTTTAAATAGGCTCTTTGCCTCATGAATAAACCATCGACATTACAAATACATATTATTCTCTGGAGATTCTCCTTTGGTCTTTCTTTAAGTAAGCGTGAGATTCTTGCCTTACTTAATGATAGAAGATTTGTTACTCTTAATTTCCCTTTTTCCTTTATTTAATTTCTGGGTTCTATCAGTACGGAATGTTCAAATGCACGTACTAGTATGAGAGGTCCGGTCACTACTGAGTTGAAGCAAGCGGCACCAACAGTTTCGGAAAATAGCGAAGTTGACATTCTTCAAGTCCAGCGCCCACTGATGTTGCCCTGGTACTGACCAACGATGATACAGGAGAGGATAAAGAGGACCAGTTTCACACACATCTTTAACGATGATACTCGAAGGTATGCTCTTGGACTGGAAAGAAACATAGAATGTTTTAAATCTTTGTTGGGAAGAGTTCAAGAACGTGAGTTGGGAGATATAGGGGAGATTGTGCACCTTCATTCATCAAAGAGAATTTTGGAAGGGCTGAATAAAAATGATGATTTCAGATTTGATGATGTTACTTGTATTAAGAACATTCAAGATAGATTGGAGGTAGGAATTAATGGAAATTGGAAGAAAAAGGTTGATGATCATAATGATGAGTACGCTGACATGTTTCTGATGTTTGAAAATGACATCAATCCTTCTATCTTCCAAAGAGGCCTTGATAATTGGGGAGAATGCAAGGAGTGTAAAAAGTTTGTATAATCACTCAAGAAGGAGGGGTAGGTTTGGATTATTGGTTTCATATGGCTTTTGCGTTTAACTTCCACTGGTATGAGAAGCTCTATTTCCCATTATTGGTGATAACACAAGTGAAAGTGAGAACTAGTAAACTGCTGCCTGTTGACCTCAAGCTTAAAATGGAAGGACTTTCAATGTTGAAATTGACATCTCAGATGTTATTCTTGTCGGATAATCCAGCTTTGGTAATTTCCCATTCTGTGGCTAGAAGCCCATCTGCTGGATCCCTTGTACTTGCAGGGAAGTTGACAGCTCTTATCTTGATTCTTCCATTCTTCAGCATCAGCAACAAAGATTGAATAATTTTAGTTCTTTAATTAAATATGTTGACTATTGGGAGAGAGGTTCCTCTTGTGGTTCAGTCAATCTCATCTGGGTGTTGGAATCTGGTGCTGAAAACATGAGTTGCTATTCGTTGAACGTCTACCACGACCTACAGGTGTCAACAACACTTCCTAATGATAACTTGGTGAAGAATTTTACCTCTGCTGTTTTAAGGCTGAATCCAAAGGCTTTGTTTCAT